GGATATATATATAGAGAGATAACTGATTTGGAGTTAACGAAGAGGAGAAAGAGTTAGCCCGCATTTTTTCAGCAACATGATTTCTGACTATCTTCAACACCCGCCTCACCCTCTCCTTCGTCTCTCTCCCACCTTTCTCACCCTTCCCCTTCCATTCACGTTTTGGAAATATTTATCCTTGACAAGCTCATTTTTCTCACTTCTTTCATTGTACTTGTGTGAAAGAAGAACTAAAATATGAAATCATTTCATGGATGTATAAAGCATATGTTTATAACCTCAAATACATTTACTGATTATAGATCTGATATTATATTTGAATAATTAGGTATCAACGTTTATCCCGAAAAATTGTCATGTATTTTAATAGAAAATTAAATTAGTGAATAATTTGATGAATTTTTCTTTTGTGAAATCCCAACATTATCATGTCTTCCTCTAAATTACTTTTAATTTGGTTTATTATAAATAATAACCATTTGTCATGGAAAAATGCTGAATATAACTTTAGGAAGAACTCGATAATCAAATAAAGGATTACTCGTTTCGGCGGTACATATATTAAAATTGGAACGATACAGAGAAAATTAGCATGGTCCTGCGCAAGGTTGACAAAAAAAAAAAATAAATAAATAAATATATATATATATATATATATATATATATATATATATATGAGGTTGTCGAACATCACGTGTCTCTTCTTCCAACAGTTATTCAATCCTCTCGCCCATGAATCCTACATATTCGCCAACATCTCTCAAAAAAACGTCCCGATATTCTGGATATATTTATCACCTCCCAGATTTCCTCCTCCCAAGCCATTTTCAAATCCTTGGATGACCTTTCTTCAGATCATAGTCCAGTTCTGCTTTTACTACATTCAAACTCTGGTCCTAAACCTTCATCTCCCAAACTGATTACAGGCCGAGTAAACTGAGACAAATTTCGTGATGATCTGTAAAATAAACTGCACTTAAAAATTCCGCTTAATACAAAATAAGATATTGATAAAGCCTTAGAAAACCTATAACAACCAGTATAAAGAATAACAAATATCTTAATAAAAGCAATAATTCAAGACATATTAACTTGCCACAACATATTCGAATCTTATTAAGGGATAAACGCAGAGCAAGATCAAAGTGGCACAGGACTAGATATCCTTCAGACAAAACGTACAATACCGAATTGACTAACAAACTAAAATCAGAAATCAGAAAATATAAAACTCAAAAATTACTTAACCTAACTGAAAATCTTACAACGACTGACAAATCTTTATGGACGACAACCAAAAAACTTCTGAAGTTTAAAGTCTTTAATCACCCACTTCTTACTGAATCCCAAACCTGGTCCAAATCCGACGAAGAAAAAGCCCAAATATTCGCTCAACATCTTTTCCAAACTTTCAACCTCATATCCTTAATCCAACCCACATCGAATGTATTGAATCAGAACTGGATTCTCCTCTCCTAATGTTCCTTCCACTAAGGCATTTCATCTCACAGAAATATCCAACATCATTCACAGATTACCCTCCCACAAAGCTCCTGGACATGACTTAATAACATCCCAGGTCTTAAAACTTCTTCCTTACCTTATATATATATATATATATATATATATATATATAAGTATATATATATATATACTTATATATATATATATATATATATAATATATATATATAAATATATATATATATATATATATATATATATATATATATATATATATATATATATATATATATATATATATATATCTGTAACCCATCCACAAATTTTTCGATCCTTAGAAAATATCTATTGTCAAAATGATTCACAAACATCATGGGAAAAATCGTGGAAAAACTAAAACACAATCTTAAAACACCTGTATCCCATACAAAATTCTAATACCTTAAAATTCCTACCATCTACATACTTCATCATTATCCGTTCCTACTTTACTGATATATACTTCTAAGTAAATCAAAACAATGTCTATACATCCCGTTTTTCCTAGTCTGCAGGTGTTCCTCAAGGTAGAATCCTAGATTATATCCTTTACACAGTCTATAAAGCTAACATCCCAATCCATAACAACACTGTCATCATCACTTATGCTGCTGACACATGTATTCTATCAGTTAATAACGACCAATCAATTGCATCCCTAACTCTTCTATCACACATCACAAACCTTGAAGAATGGTGCCAAAACTGGAAAATTAAAATAAATTCCAATAAATCCCACCTTCACCCTTCGTCGTAAACCAATGTCTTCCTGTCCATCGATATCATTTAACTACACCTTACTTATTCATGTTGAACAAATCTGTTACCTAGGACTCCACCTGGACAAACGTCTAACTTGGAATCCTCATACCAGACTGAAACGACAAGAAACCGCTCGACGTTTCCGACTACTTCAACACTTACTAGACAAACTCTCTAACCTTCCAATAAATTACAAAAGACTCATATACATAACTATAATAAGGCCTATTTGGACTTACGGAGTTGATCTATGGTGCTCCATCAAACCTACAAATTCCTCTCGTATCCAATCCTTGCAATCCGAAATACTTCCTAAAATTCTCAATGCTCCTTACTTAGTTACAAATAAAACTATCCACAATGACCTTAATGTTCCTTATGTATCAGTTTTGGCCCAATCCAGATATCTATCCTTCCATAATAAACTTAATAACCATCCCAACCCTCTTGTTTCTAACCTCGCTTCCTATTAAATTCCTAATAACCTTCCGAGGTGTCTGAAAAGAAGACGGCCCCGTGATCTCCTAATATAGACATATTATTAGAGTGCTTTCAATGGGTAGTTTCTCAACATGTGTTTCATGTCATTATATCAAAGTACGAATTTACTAGATGTATTTTATTTATATAGTTGTAAATACCATATAAATATTAATAACAAAATAAAATAAGGAGAAAAAAAAAACTTATTCTGGTCGGAAATGAATATTCGGAAATAATATTCAGAACGTATTCGTATAATATATCGTTGGAAATCGAAGAATTAAAGTAAATAAAAACAATATATAATATAGAAAAATGTAAAAGGTAACGGAGGGTGAAACAAATATAAATAATAATTTGAAAAACTAACATTATTTAAAGGAAGGAGATGGTCTGGGGTGGCGGTCATAAATAGGGTAAATAGTGGCTAAACTATTTTACTAAAAGCCAACGTTTCGACCCGACTTTGCAGGTCTTCTTCAGGGTTGGATCGGACAAGATACAAACAATATAGAGAATTGTGGAAGTTACATAATATTTATAAAAAAAATGTTTATAAACTATGTGAATATTTATTAAAATTATAAACAGTAAGTAAATTAAAATATAAACAGAGTAAGCTAAGTAACAAGATCCTAAACTGAAATAAATAGATGGTAATAATTGTTATAGTGTAATATATAATATATGCAAATGTGAATATACTTTTACAGATCTACGGGAGAGATTGAAAAAGAACGGAAAAGGAAATAATATGAAATAATAGACATATAGGAATGTGGAGACAGAAAAGAAAACCAAAAATAAATAAATTAGTATATAAAATAATAATAGAGACTTACAGGTGTGTTACAGCTAGAAGTTTCACTTAGAACTGGAAAATAAGGGTAAGGGTAGCTACAGGGGAATTTTGCTGACCTGAATTTGCTGAATTTGAAGATATGGATGGATACAAGGGAAAAAATACTATATCAATGAAATAATAAATTATAAATATATACATATACATATAAAATAGAACTAAGAAATTGTAGATAAGAATACAATGTGAATAAAACATTGTACATTATGAAATATATAGTAGAGGAAAATATTGCGATCGTGAAAAATTTTGAATCTCAGTTTTCAACGGAAATACTCGTTTTGAGGTCCTCTGAGTCAAAATAACGAAGTCCCGCAAAATGGTCTCTGTCTGTGTGTGAAATTGCATATTTAAGGTTTTATATGCTAGGGATGTTACAGTAACTTTTTCGTCAAAATCGAATGACCGGAAGTGGTACTTTATATGTTTCGCAAAATACATGTTTACAATTTTCTCTGAAATGGCTCTAACGATCAGTGTAGAATGAAGCAGTTATAAATAAAATTTAGTTTTTATTCTGATTGATGTTCTCTAACAGGGCTTAAATGGCTAATTTTCAATATCAGCTTCCTCTAAAGTACCTTAATTTTTTTTTTATCTGAAACAGTTGACCATTTCCCATTAATCTCTAATAATAAAGATAGTTAAACATAAAATATGAAAGAATTTGATAATTAACTAAAGGAGAAATAAAAAATCGTAACGGAGAATAGTTGTAATTGACCGCACTGAAAGACTTCCAAACGTAACATGAGCATACAATATTATATAGAAATACATATGCGGTTTGCATAAATGCTATTGTTGGTATTATTTAATGTTTAATTGTACAGATGACACTGATATAAATATTAAAAGTTGTATAACAGTTATATAAGAAGGCAACTTATACAAATAAAAATACTCACAATGAAATATAAATAATTATAGCGTCTATATAATTTTTACTTCCAATTCTCCTGTGTCTGAAAATACTTATTTCTGCTAAGAGGGTGGTAAGTGAAAGTCCAAATGTACTTAAGTAGGTAAATTAAATTGCGGGTGTTTTGAATATAATAGTCTTAGTCTGAGGTATACGGTTTTATGTTTTTGTTGATATTTGGACCTATGTCATTACTTTGATAAATGTCTGTCCAGGATATTACACTTGATCTGTTGAGCAATTTTTGTATGTCGATGGAAAGTTTCATACCGGGGCGTAATGTGTCGGGATTCAGCTTAGTTGAGTCGAATTTTTCAAAGTTTACACCAAACATTTAGTTTTTTTAAATGATGTAAAGTCATCAATTTTGTGAGAACACATATTTTGTTTACTTGCCATTGTCAGACTAAAAACTAAACAAAAAATCCTTAATCGATAACCTAAAACTATATACGAATAATACATGATTTTAAATTAATAAAATTATCAACCTTTATTAAAACAGTTCCACAGCTTGTTCACTCTGCCCCTCATTCTTTTTCATTAGGCTCTTTTTTTTCTTTAGACTTTTGCTCCTTTTTCGACTCTTTTTTATCCTTAGACTCGTCTTTATCCTTAGATTCATCCTCTTTATCGTCTTCAGTCTTTTTTTCCCCTAGGCCTAAGCGTTTAGTGACGTCTGCTGTTATAGGATTTAAAGCTGCAATCACAATCTTACCCAAAACTTCTTTTCCTTTACCTGCAATATGTTCATCTTTACTTACTTCCTTTATTACCTTCAGTTCTTCATCAATAATATTCTCGATCAAAGATTTATTTTCGGTATTTGAATCCTCCGAATCAGATTTTTTTTTACCTTTCTTTTCCTCCGAACCTTTGTTTTTTGGATCTGAGTCTTTCGGATCTGAGTCGGAACAGAAATAATTCTTCCTACTGTATGAGGGGCTGCTTGTAATGAGACGAGATTTAAGAGGTTGATTCAGCAGTCTTAGCATTTTAACGATAAGTAGTTCTATAGTAATTTTTAAGAAATAGTTTTATTTAGATAGATCATATGAAATAAAAGAAGTCTTACATGTGTTATTTATGCCGGTGGTTATATCAACGAACATATGATTTGATACGTATAAAAATTGGTAAAGTAAATGATTATACTCTTTCACCCCTCCCTCCTTATTTGCCTTCACTCTCACTTGGGCTGCTTCAATCTCAATCCATATCTTATTATTCCATGTTATACTGAAAGATTGGTGTATTATATATATATATATATATATATATATATATATATATATATTTAGGTATCTAGGGTCTACGATATCTAGAAAAAAATTAAATTGAAGAAGAGATTAAGGTTAGACTGAAGGCGGGAAATGCTTGTTATTTTTCTGTGCCAAAACTAATTAGCTTGCGCCTCTTGTGCCAGAACTTAAAATTAAAAATTAGAATCTATAAAACCATTATCTTACCTTCAGTTCTTCATGGATGCGAAACGTGACCGCTTGCATTAAGAGATCAGCAACGTCTTAAGGTTTTTTGAAAATAAAGTATTGCGTAGAATATTCAGGCCGAAGAAGGATGAATTAATAGGAGAGTTCATACGGTTACACAACGCCGAATTGGGGGAAATGTATTCAGATAATATCATTGAGGTGATTTCATCCCGGCGAATCAAATGGGCTTGTAAGCTTGTTGGGCTTAGTAACGAGAGAATTCCTAAAAGGTTAATATTTGCTGTACCGAATGGTAAACGTCCAGGGGTGGACCGAAGCGGAGGTAGGAAGATTGCATTAGAGCCAATCTGAAGGGACTACGTTTGGATGGTGAACGGTGGAGGGAGGTGTGTAATAAACCTTCGGGTTCGCTAAGCATTTTATTATTATTATTTATTGATTATGTGCAATACTGCTCGACAGACGGAATTTTCCATTGTCTATATATATATATATATATATATATATATATATATATATATATATATATGTGTGTGTGTGTGTGTGTGTGTGTGTGTGTGTGTGTATGTAGTAAACAGGTTGCAGTTCTAAACTTATTCTACATAATCATCTTATATATTATTTCTCAAATATATATCCCCTTTCCAGCTCTTAGTGATGGATTTTGACGAATGAGGTATCAATAAAAAGGAAATATCGTAATTTTGATTTTTAATTTTATACCTGTACTTAAATAAGAGTAAATATAAAAACGAATTGAAACTTTTTTTTTTAGATGATTTTAGGCTGTAAAGTTGATTTGGGTCAGGATGATGTGATGGGTAATTTATGCGACTAAGATTGTTGGTAGGGAGTGTGGTGGACGAGGAGATGGATCTTAGTTCTGTTGGATTTGTGATGGGCGGTTTATCTTAGGATTAGGAACGAATAGAACTGGGTGTGGTTGCTCTGGTGGGAGTTCGACCCTTAACGGTAAATGATAAGGGAGGATTTGCTGACGAAGATGTTGAGGCTGAGGTTTAGAGGTTTTAGGCTTGGATTGGGAAGCCTGAGGCGCTTGACGTCGAGGCTGCTGGTTGTTGATGATAGTTTGGGAATGTAAATTTCTTGAATCCTCTTGAGGATAGTCCGTAGCTGTAGAGGTGAATGGATGTGTCTTGATAGCTTGAGAAAGTGTTGACGGGAATACAGGAAAATTTGTCCTATCCTCAATTTCGGATGCCTCAGTGCTACTATTTATTTATCAAGGCTGAGACCTTTCAACGCCATATTATGCGAGCTCAGTTTGAGAAGATTTTTGTAAACTATGGGACCTCTGTAGCTCGCTGGGGGTCCATTGACTCAAAGTGCACTTTTCGCAGCATCTTGGCATGGTTTCTGATAAATATCAGACGGTTGTGACACAGCATATTGGACGCATCTGGCCAAATGATGGCAGTAGGCCATTGTGTGTCGAATATTTTGAGTTTGATTTCAGCATTGGAATAGTTTTTTTTCGCATGTTCGAGATCTACGCAAAATAGTGGTAGCAGGTATTTTTCCTTGGGATAACGGTTGCAATATTTCTAACGCTATGGCCTATTTCTTCCGTACCTATTCTTATTGATCTTATGGATGACATCACAAAGCTCCATTTTGTGAACAAGGAGTTAAAACACTATGCACTATATTTTGGAATATGACGTTAAGCCTCTAAATGATACTCTCTTTACTGGTAGTCATTGGGTTTTTCAGCAGGATTCATATTCAGCTAACAAGGCCAGGTCAACTCAGCAGTGGCTGCAAAAGAACATTCCAGAATTCATCTCTGCCTCGTATTGGCTCCCTAATTATCGGCTTTGGTGCGAACTGATTCGTATTTCTTTCTATTTATTCTTATTTTGCCCTTTTTGTTGCAGTACGTGGATTTTATAGCATCTATTAATGCATTGGGTACATTTTTTGAGGCTAGAGCTGCCTATTTTAAAATTTAAATATATAAAAGTGTACATTGAGTATATAATAAAAGAGTTGAAAATGGTTCACATACGACTCCGGCATGTCATAGATAAATTAGTCATTGAAAAGAATATAATATGGCTGAGGGCATTGAGAAGAATAGCAACAAAATTTGGCCCTTCTTTTACCAAAAAAGATCTGCTGAATAAGTTGAGAACACATAAAGTCATTTAACTAGAAAAACTAAAGTAAGAGGAAATGAATGATTGCATTAAAAGGGGGAGATCAGCAGTATATCATAAACTGTATGCCAAATTAGAATATGATTGTGGGTATTTAAGGAAGAACGATCACAATTTATACTTTATTCAGCTAATTTTTAAAGTGAGGGTGGGACTTGTTAATCTAAATTACCATACGTTGCAGAATAAGAGGGAAAATTATTTTTTGTGAAATGTGAATACACGGTATGATAACTTTCATTTTATAACGGTACGTCCATATGCGTCCACTAAAAATGAAAACTTGTTTGAGGCTTTCCAAGTTAGGGTGTCCTCTGTAGCATGCCAACCTTTCCAATTCGGACCAATGCCGATAATCTAGTGGTTTGAGATCAGAGATTCCTGAGGACCAATACGAGTCATATATGAACTCTGGAATGTTCTTTTGCAGCCACTGCTGAGTTGTCCTGGTCTTGTGAGCTGAAGCTGAATCCTGCTGGAAAACCCAATGACTTCCAGCAAACAGGCTTCATTTAGAGGCTGTTTTAACTCCTTGTTCACAAAAATGTAGCTTTGTGGTGCCATTCACAAGTGCAATAAAAATGGGTATGGAAGAAATAGGCCATAGCGTAAGAAACATAGCATCCTAAGGAAAAATATCTTGGAACTAATCCCCAAATACCCAAAATTTCTTATCTTATATATTGTGTATGTGTGTGTGTGTGTGTGTGTGTGTGTGTGTGTGTGTGTGTTCTGTAGATCTCTAACCTGCAAAAAACCACTCTGAAATACTTAACGTAAAACCTCTTTTATACTCAATTGTCTGTTTTGAAGAGACCAGAAAAAAACCTATAGTATCCCGATACACTAACTCAAAATTTGGGACACACAATGGTCTTCTGCCATCATTAGGCCGGATGCGTCAAATGTGCTGGGTCACACCCATCTGATATTTACCAGAAACCAAGGTAAGAGGCTGCAGAATGTGCAAGGACACCAAGCGAGCTACAGAGGTTTCATAGTTTATAAAATTCTTCTCAAACTAAGCTCGCATAGTATGGGCATTGAAAGGTCTCTGCCTTCATAATTTCATAACTTCATAATTCATAAGTCACATTCACAGAAATTTTAAGACTTAACGCTAATTCACATAAACAATATAAATTTGAAAGAATTGTATAAACAAGTATAATTGCTTACAATAATTCACTTAATCAAAATCTTAAACTAACACCTAATGAAATTACATTTGGTAAATTTCAAAATAATTATGAAACAGAAGACATACAAGAAAGTTACATACACGATTACTTTACTCACTTAAATATATTACAAAAAATGGTACATGATAAAATAACTAATGAAAAAGAAAAACGAACAGATAAACTTAACGAAAATAGAGAAGAACCACCAGAATTGCATGAAGCCACTATTTATGTAAAAATTCCTAAAGTTAAAAGTAAAAATAAAGATCTTTATAATAAATAAAAAATTAACAAAGAACATGTCGATAATATAAAAACGTCCTAATAAGAAGAAGAAATCTTATTTTCGTGTTTCAGATGAAGATCTTAATCATTCTTCAACTACTATTCATCCAATGTAATTCGTTAAAAAAACAAGACTTAACACAATCTCCAGGTATTCTTCATTATACAGCAAATGATATTAAAGTTATTGATACTTACTATGAAACGTATCATTATTACAAAACCGACTTAATTTCCAATGAAGTTAATAATCTTCGTACATTATTAAAACAATTTAATGAGACCGATATTTACGATATTTTATTAAATAACATACAAACTGTAGAAAATAAATTACGAATTTTAAAATATACTCCAAAAACAAAAATAACCTTAGAACAAAAAGAGGACTAATCAATGGACTCGATTCAGCTATATCATAGTTAACAGGTAATATGGATGCTAACGATAAAGCATACTACGACGATATGATTCAGAAGACACTGAGTAATACAGTTCAAAATAATATTAACGAGAAAAACATAATTGATACAAATAAAAAATTGATTGATAAATATGAAAAAGATGTAAAAACTATCAATAATAATTATAACAAGATTCAAGATTCTATTAATGAAATAAATAGGGAAGACAAAGCTTATTATTTCTATATGCATACGCAGTTATTAGAACAGAAATTAAATGCACTATTACTGTCAATGGAATTCTGTAAGTCAGGAATAATTCATTCTAATTTAATGATTGATGTTATAAACAACGTACCCTCTAATATTACTTTAATTTCTAGAAATATTGAAATTATATGGGAAAATACTAAAATTTATTGTTCTTATAATAATTCTACATTTCATGTATTTATACGTTTGCCTACTCATGAGCAATCTTATAATGGAGGCAGAAGGTAACATAGTAACATAGTAACATTGAATTTGAAGATTATCCTCAGGAGTTGATTTACTGAAAATTCGAACAGTGAAATGGTTTGACTCTAAGGTGGCGAGATT